GCCCCTGGGATCCCATAAAAAGTCCCCCTTGCCCTAGGAAAGGGCGCAAGTCCTCCAAGAGACTTCGCCCCAGGTACCTGGTCTAAATAAACCCTCTTGCTTTTGCATCTGATCTGTGGTTTCGGTGTGTTCCTTGGGTTTGGGGTCTCTCCCGGAGAAAGATCTCAGCCGGGGGTCTTTCAATGCATGCCTGATGCCCATACAAGAGATTGCCAGAGCCCCTGGAACAGGAGTTAAAGGTAGCAGTGAACCACCATGTAGGTGCCGGGAACTGAACCTGGGTCCTTCTGTAAGGATGCTGGACCACATTCGTGGTCCCTGCCTTGGCTCAAGCCCCTCCCGCCTAGTGTCTACTCAGGAAGCCTCCTGCATTCTCTACATTCTGTTCCATCCTCTCCTTGCTGTGGGTATCCCTCTCTGCTCTCCCACCAGAGGCCTTCTTAAAGCCCCTCCCCCCACGCCATGCGCACTGTAAAAGCCCCGCCCCCCACGTCATGCGCACTGTAACCTTCAGGGCAGTCCTCTCCCACCTGGTCAGCCGCTTCAGGCACTGACTCTAGCCTTTCTGTCCTCCAGTTCTCCTGACTGCTCCTCGGCCCCTTTACCCTTCTCCTCACTCCCTATGAGATGACTCACCCACTCCCCTCCAGTTCCTCGTCCATCCTCAGAGTTGGACTCAGATGCCACCCCCAGATCCCTAGATTGGATCCTAGCCTTTCAAAGCTCAGAAGTCAACACTCGAATCCGATAATCACGTCTACGGTGGCACATAAGTGAGTCCTTTCTGCTCTAGGCTACCTGAGGGCAGACAATGGTATTGTTTTTGCCTGCTTTCCCCTCACCTAGCTCAGGGTTGGGGGGTAAGGCAGACACCCTGTAATCCTGGAGCCAGTGGTGCTGAAGAGCAAAGTTAATCCACTCCAGATGAAAGTGGCCCGGCCTCGTGGGCCTTATCTCTCACGGGCCAGCAAAGCAGCTTGTGACTAGGCTAAGGAAGAGGGAGAGGATTTGGGGAGATTAGATAGGAGAGCCTTGATACCCGATAAAGAATGACTAAAAGTAACCAAAATCCTATCCTGGATGAAAAGTAGAAGCTTTCAAGGGTGCCAAGTTAAAATAAGCAGATCCAGTCAGCAGAGAAAACAACCCTTCAGAGAGAGACTAGCTCCCTTTATGAAGGGAGCAGACAAAAGCATCTTGTCCCAAGTACTGCCATTTTGACTTCAGACTCCATTTTACTTATAGGGTGCAGTCAAGTTCAGGTTCCCAAGCCCTGGAGGAGCTGAGAGCTTTCCAGTGGCTGACCAACCTCCTCCTTAAACAATAGAAACAGTCTGTTACGCCCCTCAGTTCTCTAAGACATTATGGCTGTGCCTAACAACAGAAAGGACAGATGAATCTGATTGCTTGGACTGAAAGGCTTACATTCTGTGTCGGTTGACAATGACGGAACTCACAAGGAAAGTCCCTGGTCTTTGATTCCTGATGGGGGAAATTTTTAATTGTAACTTGGCAACAAATGTTTGTGATTTTTGTGCTTATAAAGCCAGCTTCTGCCCCTGCTCAGGGCTGCCAGAAAAAGCAAGGCTCCTGAGTCTTGTCCTGCAGCCCTGATCTATCAGTGACCTGCTTCTGTGGTGAATTATTAAAGTCTTTGGAACCTGTAAGTGTTATCTCTCTTTTCCGTGGTGCACGATGAGCTAGGTGTGACATTTGAAGCCTTGATGAACCTGGCCATGGTTTTCTCTTACCCCCTCCTGCTAAAGAATATTTTACTGGCACTTCACTTAGCTTCATGTGTTTCCAATGTAAATGTGACAATGTAATAATGTAATACTACAGTATTATAGTACAATATTACAGTATTATTATAGTAGATAGTAATAATGTAAATACTATCTTAAGTCCCTTAGCGCCTTTAATCTTGGTGCTCCAAGGCAGAAACAGGTAGATCCCTGTGAGTTTTAAATAGTGAGTTCCAGACTAGCCAAGGCTACAAGTGAGACCCCATCTCGAGCAAACAACAACAAAAATAAATTAAATGTGCAGGATTATTTCAGAATAAGGAAGACCCTGAAGAATGCTTCTGTCTGGCAAATCAGCAGCCCTGACTTGTTATTGATGTGAAGGCTCATGTTCTTCTTGCCTCTTCTCTTTCTATATGTCATCCTGGAGGATCTTGTCCACTTCCACACTTCAACCACCTCTGCTAAGTCCTCCTGCACACCTCAGATGCTTCCCATCTGGCTTGGCTTCTTCCTCCTTCTCTTCTCTTAAAGGGCTTCCCCTCCATCTCTGCCCACCCCCATCTGGAAACCCGAGGGAAGTTCTGGCTCCCACAGATACAACTGCACTCAGAAACTATGAAACCCTAGGGAACATGCTGGGCCCATGGCCAGATCCTCAAGGGCAGATGTGGAGGGCAGGGGCCCAGAGCCAGGGCAGCAAGCCATTAAAGGCCTAGAACCTGTGGTTAAGGAGCATTGCCTTCTGTGGGCTCTAACCATTCTCCCTGATATGCCAAGTCCTACCCTTTATGTCCATATTTTTGTCTGGCTAATAATGGCTCAGGAGTTAGTTCAGGGGCTGGTGAGATGGATTAGTGGGTATAAGTGCTTGCCACTGTTAAGCCAACCGGGCAAGAATAAGGCCAGTACCACAATTTTGGAGCCCAATTTAAAGCAAGCTTTATTAAAGACTGGCCAAGACCATGGATGCTGGCCAGATCCATACCTGGAATTCCCAGAGTATGGATCCAAATTACATTAGGCAAGGGCTTATAAAGGCAAAACCCACAAGGCTACGTACTTCCTGCCTTCGTCCAATCAGAGGCAACTACACATCCTAACATACTTCTGCCTACATGTGATCAAGCACACATCCTGTGCAGTTGGTGCAACCAAGCTTGTTTACAGAAGTGAAAACACTTGACTTGTGTTTTACATGAACAACAGCCCCAGCATTCCAGGAAGTTATCTGTCCTTGGGCAAGCAGGGCTTACAGGTCAGAGGTGTTTTTGTTTCATAGATCTTTTAAGCGCAGTAATTTCAAGTTGAAAAGTAACTTTAGCCATCACACCACCAGGCCTAAAGACCTGAGTTGGATCCCTGAGACCCACATGGTAGAAGGAGTTGCAAGTTGTCCCCTGACCCGCACACATACACACATACACACACACACACACACACCACACAC